CCACCGCAAGAACAGTAATGCAGCAGCCATTTGTTCTGAAAGCAGGCCTAGTGCTCCTCTTTTCCCCTTTCAGGGTACCTTCTGACCTCCTAGACAGCAATGTGACAACTAAATGTCAGAAGATATACTCAGCCTATAACAGAAGCGGTGAGTGGTGAGATGTATTGTGGTTCCTCTGCCACTCAGGAGGCTTTGATATCTAAAAGATGTGTCATGGTGAGATAGATAGATGTAAATGCAGAGATTTTTAAGTATTTATTATTAAAAGCAATTAAGTATACAGATTTACGGGGTAGAGATGTTTAGGGTCTTAAAAATGCAACTTGGATACATGCTTGGATTAGAAAAGTATGAAAAAGGGTCTCCTATTCCTGTGAAAATTTTCCTTTTCCTTTCTAGATGGTATTTAAAAGGTCAGTATATTCACAATCTTTTGTACTTGTTTATCCAAAAATGTATGCCTTTAAAATGTGTGTTCATTTAGAATCATAGAATAGTTAGGGCTGGAAAGGACCTTAAGATATCTAATTCCAACCCCCCTGCCATGGGCAGGTAATGTGTAGGTAATTTGGACAAATCTGAAAACAACTGCATTTCTGTCAGTTCTGTTTGCATTGTTATTTTTATTCTCTGGTTTGTTTCAGCTTGAGATTTTAATTCTACTAATTCTTACAATGATTTCCTTCCCGTTAGGAAAATTGGATTTTTGATTTTGACAGTATCAAATCGATTTGGATCGGCAAGTTCAGAAAGACAAAACTTGGTTTAGAGACGTTGATTGCAGTATGACAAAACCTTTGTCTCAATGAAATAGCATTTGAAACAATGTCATATAGTTTTAACAGGAATTTTTAATTCCACTTTCTCAGCAATAGCTCCCTTCCATGAACGTGCGTAAGTTTTATTGAACGTTAAAGCCTTAGAAACTCTTGTAAATGTTATGCATACACACTTCTTTTTTATCCTGGTGACTGACCAATAGTAATTTGATTGTTATCATGTAAACCCAAATGGGAGATACCCAGTGACTATCCAGTAAGCTACTTGTTTACAGAAACACTGCACGTTGACACAACCCTGCTAAAGCCTTTCCTCCCAGGACCTCTAATGAGAGTGAGAAAGAGGGATATGAATAAGAGTGCGTTTTAGTTTGTGACAGTGGTCATGTTGGTCAAGTGATCTGGAAAATATGTTCATCCATGACCATGAGCAGTGTAATTATTAAGGAATTTTTTCCCCGTCATAGTTTTCAATGAGAAAAACAGTGTCAGATGGTTGAGTACCCCTATTCAAACTAACCATAAGCTACTTCAGTGCAACCAGGTTGTAAAGGTTTAAGAAGTTTAGAGAGATGTTTCAGCTGTGTCAAATAGGGAATAAGGTACAGATTACTTCCTGTGAATTTACAAGGGGAAAAAAAACCACAATTCCCACCGGACTTATAAATGTATAGGTGTAAAAAATCAACTGTTTGAGCAACATCACAAGTTTCCTAGTATTTTACTTTTTTGGCTGGCAATGTTGCCTGCTCCATGGAGGGATACAGAGTAACTATGGGCCAAGGAGTGGTAGAAAGAAAAATTAACCAGATGGCCTCTTCCCTTAACTGACAGAACAGGACTTGCCAGATACAAAGAGTCAGACATAACTATTAAAGATGTGGTAGAGAGGACATACGAGGGAACACTGGTGGATTGGAACAGGTCAGTTCTATGTTTCCAGAAGAATTCTACCTTCTATTTTTGCAGTTAATCATGTTTCTTTTCCAATATTCCTTATAAACCAGTTAACTTAAACTGCTTGCTCTGAAAATGCTCCATCTCACCCGTTCATTTTTTGTCAATTTATGGTTTATGTGATGGAGTTTGCATCAGTTAAATGGAGATTTGCTTCTTTTCCTGCCTATGTGAACTGCTTTCAAGCCATGTGCATGTGTGTTCTTAGATGTGACTGCATTAGGTAAAGTCTTAGGTAAGCAGCACTTACCAACGACACAAGCCCTCAGGTCAGCTGGAGAATCTGGAGTAACTGCAATAACCCTGAAAATCCCTGCTCGATGGGAGGCAAGGCAACCTGCAAATGCAAACCCACACAATCTGCTTATGATACAAACACTCATGTAGACTGAAGTTACAACAGCTTATGCATGGCATCTTCAAAGGGTCTGTTCTCACAGCCTGAATTAGAAAACTTGTCTGGGCATATTAGGCAGCTGATCACAGACTTCTGAGTGCCTCTGCTAGGATCTAAGCACGCAGAACTACCTAGGAGCTACTATGCATTATAATCGGCATGGAAATCGTTCAAGCACTATGAGCAGAATAACTAAACTAGCATTATCCAAATACGAAGACCAGTGAATGATTATACTTGTTCAGGGCTCTTGTACTTACTTAAATATTTGGGATAAAAATATTCCTGCAAAAAGAAAAATAAAGAGTAAGAAAAATTTAAGGTAGATAAAATCGCAGTAAAATATATCACTGAATGAATACTAAAATATATTGGTATTATTACTACGAAACAAGTGAAAAAGACAAAGTAATTTTGAGTCATAGGCCGAGTTTTCTATATAACTATTGTATAGGCTAAATCAGCAGATTATTCAATAAATGCAAGACTCAGTAGAGAGACTAAGATACTGCACTGAACTGGACACTTTGAAAGTAAGGAAAATTAATTGGGTGTCAAAATGACTCTGAAAGTTATCTCTTTAAATGGGAAGATCTTGTTGTTATTGGATGCACAGCAGCATCCTTCAATTCGCTTTTCACCCCAAAATAAACAAAAACCCCTGGAATAGATTGAACATCTTACATGCAATTCATTCCAAACGAAGTGAAAAGTGTTACTAAACCAGAAATTGTTAGAAGCAACTGATAATTGATTACTGAAACTATTTAAACTTAACAATCAATATATCTAAATACATGCAATGGTATGAAAGAATATGGAACTGACATGGTCTGCAAAACAAGAATTCATTTTAACCGCATATATTGTGTAATAAACCTTTTGCAGTACAAAGGTGAATAAAATATTGTTATATTTTATTTCATATACATGAATACATCTATATTCAATAAATATGAATATTATATTGAATGAAATAATAAATACCAACTAATATGAAGTGAGAATGAACTGAGGAACAGACTTCTCCCCACTAGGAAGAAAGCTTGCAGTAATATGTTCAATCCCTTCATGAAAAGGGCTGCACTGCCATGCATCCTTAGTGTAAACTTTTAATTGAAGGCAACAGAGTTTCCCTGGATGGCATGCCTGCAGGCAACTGTGGTCTAAAACTGGTTATCCGTACTGGAACTCAAATACCTGCTCAGCCATTCTCTTTGCTTTACAGGCTTTATTACTAAATGTGAAGGTTTTTCAAAGGAATTTCAAACTAGTTCTTGGTCTGCATGGTGCAATCCTTTTAGCTTTGCAGCGTGAATTCTGTGTACTTCCATCTTTCCTCTGCAAGGAACAACTTATCTACCTTGTGGGTATTCATCAGATACTTACAGTTTCAGGATTGTTTTCAAAGATTTCCCTGGCTTCTTCCTTATTGCACAATTCTTCAATGCACTCTCTTTCTAGATTTCCTTTCTTACTTTCTTCCATAAAAGAATTTGCTCGACGTTTCCTCACCAGGAACTGAGAGGCATACTGCTGGGATAAAACTGAGCAGAAACAAAAAGAGCTCTGTTATTGTTTGTTTGTTTAAGAGCTGAAAATCAGTGAGCACTGAACAAATATGAGAATCTAACACAAACATCTGAATTAAATCCTTAATCAGGAGTTGCTGTTCTCTATCATTTTGGAAAATGTGGGCAAGAAAACCTAGGATTCCATTTTCTGTATGTGGGGTAGCTGGTTCTAACCAAAGGAAAGGTTTGTAAAACGCTGTGCCTAAAGTGTAATTTAAATATCATATTCAGGACAAGATTTTTTTTTAGTAGTTTTTTTTTTTTTTAAGCTATGGGTATTACAAAGTGAGATACGTGACCAACAAGTGGAAAAAAAGATGTGAAGCCTTTTATATTACCTGTTTCAGCCACCTAGGAGTAAATGCTCTGATCCTATTTAACTTAAGTGAGACCAAAAATGTGTCTTATAATTGCAAAGCAGGCAAGAATGATATCCTGAGAAATACCAAGACAGCCTACAAATACCTTCACATTTTACCAAGATAAAATGCAATCCTAGCTAACTGTTATATTTCAGACCCATCGGGAGTCATTACCTACTTTTAATGTATCTTATTTTTGTCATTTTATTGACTTTTACACAAATGGTGAACAAATAAGTGAGTTGAGAAATAATGCTACAAATGAAATTTGTCTGCTTCAATGTTCTTTGTAGAGCACACAGCTCTACAGGGAAAACTACTAAATCAGACTGCCTTGTTAGCTTAATTTTGGGGTATACCTTGTGATTAAAAGAAAAATGCATGAGCATAATTGGAAGAAGACCAGCTGACAGGGTTAAAGAGCATGGCTGGCATATGTTAACTAGAGAGCACTACATTTCTACTCCTGTGCTTCTTCATCAGCCTTTGCACAACTAAACCTCTCAGACTAGCACACTGTGTGAGGGTCAGGACACCTGCAGTGCAAGCCAGGTATGGTATGCACGCATACTCATCACTAAGCTACAAAGATCAACTCAAGCAGACATAGTCAATTCAGTACTCTTTATAAGCATGTAGCGCCTCAAACCCAGAGCACTTTTATGAGATGTGCCACCAGCCAAGTGTCAGAGAACAGCTTCTCACTGTCTGTGCACTAACAGGGAAGAAAGGACTTCAAAGGCTTATTAGAAAGAACAGCTAATGAGAACCAGAACCTGCAGTGAGAACAGCTTTCAGGTGACAGATGCAATGAAAATCATTTCATCCTAAACACAGTTCTTAAAGGTCTCTATCAAGTGACAGGGAACACAACTAAAGCACTCTGGTGTGTAACACTGGACAATGACCTGAAGAAAACTTTCTGTTACAGCATCCTAAATGTATTTAATGTGGGATAAGCTTGTGACTCCACACTGATCTACCTGCTCTCCTGCTGGGAAGAATGATCTTCCTGGTAAGGCAACAGGTAAGATGTCCTAAGTATGAGGTGGATGCACTACAACATACCTCCAAACTTTTGAAGGACACCTATGTCTCAACAAGCAACCAGCAACTTGCTTAGAAACGCAAGAAGTCAGCTTGTGCCCTTCCCCAGTAATACACAATAAGTATATGAGCAGGCAGCAGTTAGGTAGTTGAATCTTCATTTTTTCTTATATACACATTGATCTACATGGTGGTCTTCCTGGAGAATGGGAAAAATTCTCTAAGGTTACAATTGATCCTCAAGGGAACTGCTCAGAGAAAGAAAAGTCTTGTCTTACTTTCTGGGCTCCCACTGCCAGAAGTTATTGGCACAAAAGAAATGATTCAAGCCTGCTTCCCTCTTCCACTCTTTGCCACTTCCACAAACCTTAAGGTACACCCCTAAGTACATCTCAAGTGCTGTTAACATCTTTCAAGAGCTGGGTTTGGATTCTTGGGTTGTTATGTATCCTTCACACAGCAGTTAGGAGGAGCAATGAATTGGAAACTGCTGAAACTGTGGATCTCCTAGACCTTTTTTCTCAATCCATGAGCCCATCACTAACGTATCATAGAACAGCCCAGGCTGGAAGGAACTTCGAAAGATCATCGGATTCAGCCTTTCATGGGAAATGGAGCCTAGATGAAATTATCTGACACCAAGTCACATCTTGACAACCTCCAGTGATGAGGATTCTACCATGTCCCTGGGGAAGTTATTCCAGTGAGTGATTTGTCTCATTGTAAAAAATTACTTTCTTATATTGAGAGGAAACCTCTCCCAGTACATCTTGTACACATTGCCCCTTGCCTTTCCCACGTGGCTCCTTGCAAAGACAGAGCCTCTGTCCTCTTTGAAGCAGCCCTTTAATACTGGAATATGGCCATGAGGTCCCCCAGGTCTTGTCTTCTTCAGGGAGAACAAGACCAACCCCTTCAGTCCCTCCTCACAGGGCAGGTTCTTGGTGGCCCTCCTTTGCACTCTCTCCAGTCTGTCTGTGTCTTTCTTGAATTGCAGAGACCGGAACTGGACACAGTACTCCAGGTGTGGCCTGACAAGCGCTGAGTGACTGGGATGAACATGTCTCCATCTCCGCTGGTACTGGAGACAGGGAAAAAGCGTGGCAAGAGGATGGGACACAAAAGACCTCATGAAAGATCTTCTGAGCCCTAGCCACACTGGAAAGCATACCCAGAAGAACATTTTGATGATGTATTTATCACCAACTATTGCTAGCAGTGTCATTTTAATTAACTTGGGTAAGTGGCTGCATTTGTCATTACATAAAAGCAGACTGATAAGAAGGATGTATCTGTTCCGAGGCAAAAGGAGTGACAACAAAATGATACAATCGTGCATTGCAACCGCTGATTTTGTTTACGCTGCAGATTTCTACCAGTGTGAGCATGCTGACATAGCTTTAGGGCAGAGGCTCTGTGGTGTAGATGAGGCTTAATCCACAACTGACTGTAAACAATCTTGTTTTGACCTTTAGTGACAGGAGTTTTGTAGCGAGTAAAACACAAGAAAATGCCAAGCACATGCAGTGTTCTTGAGGACATTGCACTGGATATAACACTGAGGACATTACACTAGATATAACACTGCTGACCTCATGTCTTCAGTTCAGTGGGGTAATGGAAACCAGTCTTTCCCCTTACACCCCAGCAGTTCAGCCTTCTCCTAAGCTCATTTCCTATGACTGAGCTTAAATAAAATATATAACTCTATACGAATTCCATATTTTTACTGCAAATATTTCAGTTCTTGTGTACAGAATTAGCAGTGTATTTATTTAACTGTTCTTTCCTTATGAAGATTATGATAAGACCTTTGTTTTAAAAAGTAATCCTGACTGCTGTTGCTGCCAGTTTGATTACCGGAAACTCCAGCCCACTCCTGACCCTGCCAAACCAATAGTTAACCCTTAATGAGCTGTGTGCTTCATTTGGTACTCACTCAAGTGCTATGGACTTCAATAACCTTACGATTTCAATAGCTGTAGTAGAGACACTGTGTAGTGATTACTTATCAAGTACCTGTTTAGAAGTTATGCTACTGAAAAAGAAAGAAAACTGTGGGGAAAGGGTGAGATTCCATGGTTCCTTACAGCTGTTTTGTAGTGCAGAAGGAACTAGGAACCTACCACAACTGGGCTATTTAAACATAGCTTAGAGCTGCTTACCTTATTTCCCAGTTATGGAAAGCAGTTCTAGCCTACTAGTGCTCTCTCCCAGAAGCTCCTTATAAACTGAATAGGGAGTACATGCCCTACCACTGTAGAAAGTGGCATTGTCTTGTTTGTACAGCTGCTATACTGCAATCAGCTCCCTAATTCCAGCAACTACAGTCTCCCCAAATGCTCATCAGTGACATAAGCTTTATGCAGCCAACAAAACGAAGCAACCCAACTGCTGATGTTTGCTTGTTTCTCCTCCATCTCATCCAAAAGATGTCCCTTCCTGGATGCTGGACCAAACGCAGCTGAACTATCAGAGAAGCAACTTTCCCTTATGATTGAATGGTAAATTAGGCTGCGTTAATAAGATCTTTCTGGTTTTTGTCTGTTTCTTTGGGCTTTTTTCCCCCCTGGTACAGAAATCCCTGGCAATGTTCAGAGGCAATGATAGGAAACTGAACTACATGGGCCACAGAAATTTTGCATGAGTAGGACAACTTCTAATTTCTCTCTGTTCATATTAAACTGACAAGATATGCAGTGAGCAAGATAAATGGCACAGAAAATGTGATGAAAACAGGAGAAAACGTTACAAAACATTTATCAGAAGATTTATTTTTAGGACTTGTTCAAAAATAAATTATAAAATGAACTTTCATCTTCCCATGCTGCTCCCTTCACACTCACAATCACTAGCATTCAAACAGCATCTGAACAGTAAACATTAGGTTTTTCTTCTGCCGGTTTAATCATTAGCAAACCACGTCAGAAACAGCCTTACTTTGAGCTGCAGCTCTTCTTGTTCCAGATAGCCTTCTATCATTACTAAGCTCAAACATCTTTGTGTCAAAGATATAAGCTTTGATTCTATTTTTTATCTCTATGCGAGAGCAAGTAGTTCTTACCTAGCCTGGTAGGTCTGAACTTAACCAACAGGCAGGGCTGCTTGCCTGGACTCCACAATAATGCCACTCTCCTGAGCCCGTGATCTACCCAGTTTTTATCTCCTAGGCGACTCAAGCGCTATCTGAAGGCACACTTTCCCCTAAGCTGCAGACCTGCACTTCGGCCACAAACAGCTTCAGACCGGCCCCAAGTTACAGCTCGGCTGCCCTATTCAGTAACCGCTGCCTTTCAGCGAGCAGCCAAACCCGACGGGATCAAAGCGCTCCAGTGGCACCTACCCGGGGAAGGAGGGCCGCCCCACGACCGCCTGCGGCACCCCGTCCCAGGGCCACAGGGACCGGCGCCAGCCCCCGCCTCGGCCCCGTCGCTCCCGGCCCTGCTCGCCTTCCCCCCCCCCCGCCATGCCTCACTCACAGGTCGCGGCCTCCGCGAGGGCGATGGCCACCGCCAGTCCCGCCAGCAGCGGGAGGCACCGCCTGCCCCGCGGGCTCATCGCTACCGGGGGGGCGGCCAGGACCGGGCACGGCACCGGGACTGCGCGGCGGCTCCTCTACGCGACGGGCAGAGGAAGCTCTGGGGGCGGGAGGGAGGGGCAGCGGGGCGGGTGGGAGGCTGGGCCGTGTCCGGGCGGTGTTGCCCTGCGGGAGCGTCAGCAAGGCGCCGGGGGCAGCGCCGCGGGGGCGCGGGCGGCTCGCTCCTGATCCGCATCCGGGCGGCGCCGAGGGCCGGCTCTAGGAGGGGAGCGGCGGCAGAGGGGGCCGCGGGGGGCCGCGGGCATCCTCCACGGCAGCGGCTCCCGCATCTTCGCACCCGTGAGTACCAGAGGGAGGGCTCTGCCCCCGCCCCCTTATAGCTGATTGGCTGATGGTCCTCCGGCACCGAGGCAGCCGCCCGATTCCATTGGCTAACGGCGGACCGGCCCTTTCTCGCCCCGCTTTGCATGCCTTCGCGCTCCGCTGTTTGGATAAGTTTGTCCTTCCCCGGCTCCCGTTGCGGTAACCAAGGGTTACCGGCCTGGTTACGCGTCCCCACCGCCCCGGAGATCTCGGTTTCGACCAATGAACGCCTTCGCGTGAGCAGGGGTTGCGGGGGGGGGGAACCGGGCACGTGACCCGGGAGCGGCCGCGTCGGTCCCGGTGCGGCGGAGCCGAGCGGAGCGTTGCGGCCTCCGCCCCGCGTCCCGCCGCCGGCTCCCGTCGCCCGGGGCAACGCCAGGCCCGCGGTGGCGGCGGAGCTGCGAGGAGCAGTTAACGGTCGGACTGCGCGGCCTCGGCTGAGCGACCGGTAATGGCTACAGCGGGGAGAAGGGGGGAATGGAGGATGACGGTCTCCGCGGTTACCGGGGTGAGGGGGATGGTTGCGAGGCTCGCCTCCGGCCTGTCCCCGCCGCGGCTTGCTTTACCAGACGCGCCGTGTGCGGCGGGCGGGCGGGCGGGCGGGCGGGGGTGCCGCGGGAGCCAGGCGAGGCGAGGTTGGCAGCTCGGCGTCGGTGGGGTTGCGCCTTCGGGTGGCCGCGTCTCCGGAGGGGGCCTGGGGCATCTCCCGGCGGGTGAGGTGGCCGCGGTGGAGGGGTCGCCCTGCTCAGCTGGCGAGTTTCTTGCAGCTCCGCTCCAGTGTCGTTGTACAAAACACATCGGTGCGTGTCCGCAGTGGCAGCCTCGGGCTGTGGGTCGTTGGCAGCCTGCGTGGTAGGGATTTAAGCAACAGAGAGTAGTTTTTCTCCGAAGTCCTGATTTTATAGAACAAAAAGGGTACTCCCATAGTGGAAGAGAGAAGCACAAGAAACATGCCCAAAACAAAGACTGGATTTTAGGGCTGCTGCTTTTTGTGGAAACAGAGGAAGAGGTGTGGAAACTCACTTGATCTGCTAGTCTCGTAGTAACTTTTCTTTGTACTAGAGCTACAAGTTCTTTTATATATAAAATTTTCTTGATACAAGATCCTACACCTGGGTCGGAGCAATCCCAGGCACAGCTACAGGTTGGGCAGAGAAGAGATTCAGAGCAGCCCCGCGGAGAAGGACTTGGGGTGTTGGTAAATGAGAAACTGAACATGAGCCAGCTTCAGTGTGCGCTCACAGCCCAGAAAGCAACCGTATCCTGGGCTGCATCAAAAGGAGCGTGACCAGCAGGTCGAAGGAGGTGATCCTGCCCCTCTACTCTGCTCTTGTGAGACCTCACCTGGAGCATTGTGTGCAGTTCTGGTGTCCTCAGCATAAAAAGGACATGGAACTGCTGGAACAAGTCCAGAGGAGGGCCACAAGGATGAACAGGGGCTGGAGCACCTCCCTATGAGGATAGGCTGAGAAAGTTGGGGCTGTTCAGCTTGGAGAAGGCTGCATGGAGACCTCAGAGCAGCCTTCCAGTATCTGAAGGGGGCCTACAGGGATGCTGGGGAGGGACTCTTCTTTAGAGACTGTAGTGATAGGACAAGGGGTCAGGGGTTAAAACTTAAACAGGGGAAGTTTAGGTTGGATATAAGGAAGAAGTTCTTTACTGTTAGGGTGATGAGGCACTGGAATGGGTTGCCCAGGGGAAGTTGTGAATGCTCCATCCCTGGCGGTGTTCAAGGCCAGGTTGTACAGAGCCTTGAGTGGTACCCTTTAGTGTGAGTTGTCCCTGCCCATGGCAGGGGGTTGGAACTGGATGATCTTAAGTCCTTTCCAACCCTGACTATTCTATGATTCTGTGATTCTATGAGGAGGGTTAGCCTTAAATGGTTTCTTTAATTATGCTTTAAAAAAAGTGAAAGCATGATATGACTGAAAAAAATCTCTACTGTAAAAAGACTCTTCCAAAGGCAGAACATCTAATCTGAGCTCTGGCAGTTAAATGTGTAAATGGTGCTTGTTTTCCACTTTGATATGGAAGTAGATAAACTTATTCATCAGATGTCTTTGGATGTTGGACTTGCTGGTACCCAGTACTTTGGATCACATAACATATGGGCTGCTAAGTATATGTAAGATGCTGATCTTAATCTTGAGTATTAAGCGTTAATGAAGTTATCTGTCATGTTTTTCTCAGTCTCTGTAGTGTGCTTCTTCTGTTCTCTTACCTAAAAACGGGATCTTTGACATTCTTAGTCCTTGGCACTTGTGCTGACCTGCTACCTAAATGGTATACTGGCTTAACTAGAGTTTTATATCTTTCTGAGCTTATGGGCATGTTGTTTTGCTTCGCCTCAACAAGCATAAAGAAATTAAGCTGACTGATACAATATCTGGAACGACTTCTGAATGTCGTTAACGCAACGTATAAAATACATGCATTGTGTTCCATACATGTTTCAGAGGTCAAGTGTCTCCACAATGGCATAACACACTGTGATTTGCCTCCCTACCGTAATTTTCTCGGCTGTGTTGAATGCCCTTTCCTCCTACAGTGGAATATTTTGGAAATTTTGTCACCTCCTGCCCACCCCCATTTAGGGTTTCGTTTTTAAACAAGATTCCTCTGCTTTGACGTAGCCATCCTCTGCTCCTTAGTCTTCAACAAAGTTTTCTTCATGTCACGAATCCCATTTGAACGGTATGGGCCGTATATGTGCTTTAGAGCAATTGCGTCACCATTTGCAAGCACAGCAAATCTGTATAATGTTGTTCTGTGATGATGCTCAGGCACTGAAAGCGTTATGTTTTTATCAGGGCATTGTTCATTGAGCTGTTATATTTTGATTTTCAGCAGAGCTAGCTTGTGTAGCTGTTCTCAAAGTTAGCTTTGTTGGTGCTGCTTGTGGGCTGAGGCATCATATACTGCATGTGGGTTTGGGGGTTTTTCTTTGGTTTGTTGGGGCTTTTTGTTTGATTCTTCAGAGACTGATTTTAATACTTCAATAGTGGTAATCATCTTGCTCTCCTTTTTAGGAGCTCTGTTCCTCTTACATTAAGTTGTCCTGTGGATAGCTCTTCTCAGGTGCTCTTGTGGAACAATAAAATATTTAAAGAGTATCTGTTGTCCCTGCTCAGGAAGAAAGGAAGAAATCTGACCTGTTTCTGACGTTTAATAATGACAGATCCACAAAAGGCATCCTTGAATACCGCAGCTTTATGAGAACGGGAGGAGTTCTTAGTTTCTACCTGCATAAATTGCCTAGACCATCATAGTTTGTTAGGGACAAATATGTTTATTAGGGATAGCTCCTCAGTTTTTTCCTGCTTTTATTGGTCTAGACTGGGGAGATGACAACCCATAGAAAGTTGTTTCAATCTTAGATTGGAGTTAGTTGTAATTGAAAATTAAAGGAATTTCTTTAAGAACAAGAAAGAATGTTGAGAAACAAACTTTAGGAAACTTGCTGTGGTAATCTGAAGTGTCAGTACTCTCTGTTAGTACTCTGTTCCTGAAAGCAAGTTAGCAGTAGGGAGCATCTATCTACGTCTCAGCTGCTCTATTATGAATCTAGTTGTTTTAACTTAAGCTCCTGATCAGAATGGGATCTAAGATGATATGAGCCTATGAGCAGAGGTGATGGAGCGCATTCCTTCTGCAAGGGTTCTCTTCTCATTGGAGATCACTGTGTCATTATCCACCATCCCTTGTCCCATGCCATATATATGGATATTATTTCTCTATTCCATAACGCCCCCCGACTTCCCCAAATAGGGACAGTTGATGACTTGGGCTCCATATCTGGAGGTGGGCACTCGCGGAAGGGAAGGTGGCATGTTGGACTGTTAGTTGCCAAGACCCACTTGAATTGAGTCATCACCACACTCGTGGTTCCTTACAAGGCTCATCCTCCTTTGGTTCAAGTGATTCCTGCTATACCGTTCCTGTAACATATGACTCAAATCATGAGTTATTTCTCCCAAGTTTAAATCTCCTGGAGTTATAAACTGGATTTCCCCATTCTTCCACATTACCCACCAGGTGCACTTGAGCAAACATAATCCCACAAACAGCTTGTCCTTATCCCAAGGGAGGAGCAACCTTAACAACCTTTTCCAACTACTAACAAGCACTGGACTCTAATATGCAGTAAAATAAGAAAGCCTAGTGACCATCACAGGTGCCTGCCAATTAACAACTGTAATGTGCTCAGATCAAAGCTGTCATTATCTTTAGGCCCACATTAGCACCAAGAAGGAGTCTAGTGGGTTGCCCCTGCCCAACAACATGCACCCAGTGACTTGCTCACTCCCGTCTCCCACAAGATGGGGAGAAGATAGCAGGAAGATGAGAAGACTCATGGATAGAGATAATGGGGAAGGCAGAAGCTGCATGCTTAAGCAGAATGCTGGGCAGATGTTCAGCCACCTTCAAGAAAGCAGGGCCTCAGCACACTTAATGGTTCCTTGGGAAGACAAACACAATAACCAAGAGCATTCCCCCTTCCTCCTCTTTTCCCTGAGCTAATTTTTGCTGTGCACTACACCACATGGAATGGAATGTCCCTCTGTCAATTGGGGCTGGCTGTCCTGGCTGCATCCCCTCCCAACCTCTTGCCCATACCAGCCTTCTGGCTGCAGGGAGAGAGGAGCAGGGCAGAGTGGGAAAGAGAGAAAGCCTTGGTGCTGTGCAAATCCTGTCCAGTAATAGCCAAAATATTCTTGTGTTCTCAGTGTTGGTTTAGCCAAAAATACAGAGAATAGCACCATACTGGCTGCTGTGAAGAAAATAACAGCCAGACTTGGTACATCATCCACCAGGGAGGTTATGGATTTGAACTCCTGGAGTAAAATTGCCCAAAGCTTGCTGGTGGAATGTCTTTAGTTGGACAACTGCAATTGTTCGCAGTAGGATTATTGTAGCTGAATAATTAAGGAAGCTTTAAAGCTTTTGCATTGTTGTGCACTTGACTGCATGGTTTCTGTAAGCTTTACTGTTTCATAGCTTAAGTGTGCATACAAAGAAATAAATATGCATGTGATCACACAGTTTTTCCCTGCTGTTTGTTCCACAGAGCAACATTAATATTCTGTGTTTCTTTATCCTGCTTGAAATGTGGGAAGTAGGATTGTAAAATTATGGAAGTGCTTGGTACTTAGATTTAATTTATTGACAATTACTATACATTAAGGTGCCAACTCCTCAAAGTACTCACTAGAGAACCCAGTTTCCTTGTTGTGGGATCTCTTCATGTAAAAGAAATTAGCAGTTAAATAGCTATATTGAACAGGTGGGACATTCTTTGTTTGCTCTTAATGCGTTATCCCATAATGTTCTTACAAGCCTTACTCATGCTTGAAATTGGTCCTTATATTTTTGTCAACCAGCAGAGCTGTGGGATGTGTTAGTGAGGCAGGCACTGGAATATCAGTGTCTTATTGCTCTAACTTGCAGGCTTTCCTTGTGTGCAGTAGTCTTGCATTACTTTTTGTATGAGTACTGTGTTACTGCCCAGATATGTAAAATGGGGGGAGATGAAGCATGAGGCTGTCGTAGAACTGACTGAATATGACTCACTGTGAATAGACAGGCTGCTGCTAAGGAAATGGCTTGCCTTGGTTAAACATAAGGGCTAACTATGCATTTCTTTCTTTTTGCTAGCAGTGACAAGACAACGCCTGGACCTCTGCAGCCTCTCTTGCGTTATTCTGGCCTGTCCACATTGTTTCTGTAGCTTTTGTGTCTATTGATGGCTAATGAAGAGGGATGTTCAGTCTAATGGCCAATTGCTGCAGCTGGTTAAAACGGTGGCAGGAACCTGTCAGGTAAACATGTGAAAGTATTTTATGTTTCTCTAATGACCTTCCCAAACTATATTTCACCTGTGTTTTATTTTATCTGCTATATAATATTGTTTTGGACTTTTAATCCTGTGGCAAAATCCATGGAATTCTGCTGTTCTCGTTTGTTTCTGTAGCTTTTACTTTGACATTCTGCATCCTTTTCCCTCCAGTTAGCAGACATGCACAGGTAGTACACAGTTTGTTTCAAACTGCTTGCAAACTGTGGGGAAGGGAAAGAAAAGCTGCACCACACTCATTTAGACTTCACAGTCATGTAGAACGATTTGCTGTCTTCTTCAATGCTACGTTACTTAGGTTTTACAGAAGGTGATGCTGTTCAAAGAACTATATTGGGTTGAATAACTTTCTGACATCACCAATGTATTATAGACACTTGTAAGTTTATAAATGTCCATGGCTTTTCAGAGTTTAGCCTACCATTAAAGTATAATTTTCTAAGATCCTACTGTTAATTTTTAGGTTCTTTCCTCAGAGGTTTTTGGCTCTTCTGAAAGAACCATCATAAATTATACTTCATATATGATGCTATCACAGTTTGGAGTCCAGAAATAACAATGGGTTTAGTATTCTTTCACTTAAAGGGGCATAAAAAGAAGTGAATTCTTTTGACTACTCTTAAGTCTTTGTGAATGAGGGGAACAATTGAGCTATACATGTAGATATGTTTTTCCTCTTGCTTTGTTTAAAATCCTATCGTGGTATCAATTCTAACCTGTATAACAGTTTGCATATATAAAATACTTACTTAACACCACTGCTTTACACATTTGCACTTTAGATTTCTCCTGCTTGAAACAAAGGCACAATGAGTACCAGTGCCACTTATTTAAAACATCTGATGTTGTCTACACAAGTGTTGGGTACTGTATAGTGTTGTTCACATGCACTGGTTGAGGTAGAAATAAATTCCTAATACAGGCACAACTTTGAGGCAGAGAGATGGCAAAAATACAGGGGAATGGAAATGAAATTACAAAAATAATAAAATTTACAATGCTGTGAACTTAAATTTCAAAAGGCAGATAAAAGTTGAGAGCAAAATCGTTATCTTACTTGAAATTCACAGTCCAGTATTAGATGTACCATTTCATGCCTTTGTCTGCTGTTCTTACCAGATGGTTGGACAGAGGGGAGATTTAGATAGCAGGAATAAACTCTGTCCTGTGAGGGTGGTGAGGCACTGGCACAGGTTGCCCTGAGAAGCTGTGGCTGCCCCATCTGTGTTCAAGTATTCAAGGCCAGGTTGGGCAAGGCTTGGAGCAACCTAGTTCAGTGAGAGGTGTCCCTGCCCGTGGCAGGGGACTGGAACTCGGATGAACTTTAAGGTCCCTTCCAACCCAAACCAGTCTGTGATTCTATGATGTATTGAACACCAGATACGCAACTGTAGCAATGCCTGCTACTTTGTATTTTGCTGCCTATGCTTTCTACGACTTTATGCTAAGTTTTCTACGTGTGTATTAAAAAATATAAGTGATGTCTATGTAGAGGAAAAAAAGGTTTGAAATATCTTTTTTTGTTTTTTTCTTGTTTTTTCTCCTTATGGAGGAAGGTGACACTAATAATGGTGGGTCTTGATAACGCTGGTAAAACTGCTACAGTCCGAGGAATTCAAGGAGGTAAGCAATTCATTTGTTGATCATCTACATGGAGCATTGAAAGTGAGAGTATAATTACTAATTTTCTATCATTTAAATCTTTAAATAGTGCTTTATCTCTTAATTCATCTCTGCCTCCCATATAGTTGAAAGAAAACATGGTGATTGTACTGCCAAAAGTGGTACATGTGTGGTTGCCAAAGTGAGCGTGTCACAGGCCCTATTTTGTGAAGACCTGCAGATGATAAAAGAATGAAGGGATCTTACCTTTGAAACGTGACGATCCTGAATTTTGGTATCTGATAAATCATCCTAGGGTGACTTAAAAAGTAGCTACTCCTAGTCTTGTGCTTTATGATCAGGAGAACTAGCAGAGCAAGCTCCACATCTGCTCGTTGGCCACTGCGCATCATGTTGAGCTAAGGTAGACCAGGTAGTGAGTGGTCTGTTAAATCTTTTTCAAGGGTAATAGTGTGGTGTCCCTTTTAACATTGCTTGCAGAGATCAGAACCTTCAGTTAGGCTTCAGGGTTGATAACACCAGTATTTTTGGCTGTGTACCAGCCATACAGACTATAGGAGGAGGCTGCAGTTATGTCTGCTTGGGTGTCTTAAACCTAGGCAAATCAGCATGGTTACCAAAGTTATATTTGCCAGAATGGATCTGCAGCTTATATGGCAGACCCTATTTTTACACTGAAGATTGTTCATCATTGGAGACTTCACCATACAATGGGAGCTGATGGTTCAGCAATATCCCTTTATATTCAGCACCATCAATAACTTTCAGCCTTAACCAACCCTCATGTTCACATTGTACTCTTTGGTAAGAGCCCATACTTACGGTTCACAATGCAAATCATTCTTCAGAATTAAGTCTGCTGAGTTTTGAAGCTGTAGTTTTCCACAACTGGGGGTCCCAGACCCTTCTCTTGGTAGAGTCTTGGCTTACACTGTTCTGGCCAAGGGGTCTGTCCTAAATACCCTCACAGCTGTGTATAAAGGATTCTTTCAGAAGAGAAACATGGTAGCAGAAGGCTAATGGTGATTTAGCTTTTGCACTGCTCTTCAGAGCTCAGTGCTTCTGACCATGCCCTCATTTCTTCCTCTCAACAAGCTGAATTTGACATCTGTTTCTCTCACCTTGTGCTACCAAGCACATAAAACAGAGAGATCCAAGTAACTCATCCCTACAGTAGAGAGGTTAGTGATGTGAGGCAAATACGGTGTTTCTTTGCCCCCTGAAAAGGGTGACAGCAAGCAAAAGTATTAAATACAAATCTATAGATTTTTAACATATGGCATGACAATCTAAAAAAGGATGGAATTTTTTGTCCCCCTCCCTCTTCCCAGTGCCCTTATCTAAATTAATGTGAAGTAACTGGTTGATACACTAGTGTGCTAATTTGAAGTTACCTAAGGAGAGGGAAAATATTAAGGTAAAAACTATGTGGTTAGCAATATGGTGTCACTTAACGGGGTTGGTTTGCTCCATGTCTTTAAACTATTAATCTTGCTACACAAATCATGATGTAAAAACCCCTTAAATAACTAAGGACACTTTTTACTGAAGCCTTTCTTTGAACTCTGGCAGAGTCTCCTGAAGACGTGGCTCCAACCGTTGGGTTTTCCAAGATTGACCTTAAACAGGGACGCTTTGAAGTCACCATCTTCGATTTAGGAGGTGGAAAACGAATTCGAAATATCTGGAGAAATTACTATGCTGAGTCCTACGGTGTAATATTTGTTGTGGATTCCAGTGACATTGCAAGAATGGAAGAAACGAAGCAAGCCATGATAGAAGTTTTAAACAGCCCGAAGATATCAGGAAAACCCGTGTTAGTGTAAGTAATGCTAAGAAATGCTCTCCTAATGGTCTGAAATGTTGTAAATTTTGACCTTTGATACATCCTCTAAAGAAGTATTGATGTGTAGGATAAACATAGGTGTAAAGAACACTAATGCTACTGTAACTTCAGTGCTAAGCAATATTGCAGTTAGTTTGACAGTATTTCTGAGGTATTTATGCATGCCAGTCGTAGAATCATACTAGTGAGCAAAGCCTTTTCCCTTTTCCCCTCCCTCTTTCCCAACTTGCATGGGGTGATATACTGAATCCATTCACTGCATCTGACATTAGATCTTATGTAGTCTTTCTCAGGGGTATTTCTCAATCATTAGTTGTGTGGGGTTTTTTAAACTCTTTAAGATTCTAATATTACTCGAAATGGAAGGATAGGTTAAAGGTTTTTGCAAGTTTGGCATGGCAACGTGGTGTAAAAATATTGTTACTATTTAGGCCTACATTCATTACTTGAATTGTAAGTGGTTGATTATATTCTGTCATACCACTAATCCCTCAGCAATAAATGTCTTGTTTGCTTAACACATGGTGGTGCTGCTGATACATGATCAGCAAAATCTCATTAAAGAAGGCTTACTGTAATAGTATTTGGCATGTGCTTTTGTTTCAGTGCGTGCCTTTAAAAACAAGAAAGTTAAAGTTTATAAGGTTTGGAGCCATTCTCTCACAGAATAGGTAGATTCATGAACTTCTATATAATATTTTCCTTCTTAGTTAATAAAACTTGGTAAAATGTGATACTGGAGTGGTAGCTATGGTAAGGAGGTAAAGATTTGCCTCTGGACAAGAATTCTGATCTGTCAGCATTCTCTTCCTAATCTACCTTTATACCATGGATTACCACAGCATATACAAAAGAAAAACTTGAAAAAGAAATTGCATTCCCTGTTAGGTAAATTAATGCTTACTGGAATGTTCAACCTGTTTTACTTGTAGAGTTCCTGGTGTTCAGAACATTAGGCGTTGGATTAAGAAGAGTGTGATTGTTGAATGCTTCTAGAAAATTGGTTGTTCAATAGTAATTCCAAAAGGAAGTGAAGTACAATTTATATAACTGTACTAATGAATAAACACATTCCCTAATATACTCACCTTTTCTTCCATCCTCTGACATCTGTCACTAGTTCCTGAAGTCTTACCATCTTTCTCCTTCTCTTCCCTTCATCCATTCAGCATCTCATCTCTGGCTGAATAAGCACACGCTATGTCTGGTTATAGTGCAACAACCACTCAGCTGTCTGTTGCCTTTGAGAACAGGTGAAGTGAATGAATTAAAACTAGTTTTAGTCTCTCTCTCTTCTAACAGTATGAATTTGATATAGGTCAGCAGCTATTGTAGGAGCTAACTGTCCTTGCAAAAATGGTCTGAAAAAGTAGTGGGGGAAAAAAACCTTTTTCTACTCGGGTAGGCAGATTTTGATATGATATTATAGATAAAACAGATCATAGAATCATAGAATGGTTAGGGTTGGAAAGAACCTGAAGATCATTCTAACCCCCCTACCTTGAGCAGGGACATCTCACACTAAACCATGTCACCCAAGGCTCCGTCCTTTTACCTGGCCTTGAACATCGCCAGGGATGGAGCATTTGCCACTTCTTTGGGCAACCTGTTCCAGTGCCTCACCACCCTCACAGTAAAGAATTTCCTTATATGTAACCTGAACTTCCCCTGTTTAGGTTTAAACCCATTACCCCATGTCCTATTGCTACAGTCCCTGACAAAGAGTCCCTCTCCAGCACCCTTGTAGTCCCCCTTCAGATATTGGAAGGCTGCTATGAGGAGCAGTACTTGTTACCAGTCTCCAGTTGGACATTGAGCCGTTGACCGCAACTCTGTCCATGTGGACATCCAGCCAATTCTTTATCCACCAGGTGGTCCATCCATCAAATTTATGGCTCTCCAGTTTAGAAACAAGGATGTCATGCGGGAAATCATGCGGAATCATGTAGTTCCTTCATCTAAACATACCTTCTCCTCAAAGATTTAGAAAATTACATATTCCTGATTTAGATAACTGTGTGCTTCTTCCTGTAAAAAGATAATGTTGATTATAACTGTGAGGTCTGCTTCACTACGGTAAAAACATCTCTGATGGTAACATTTAAATAACCTTAAGGAAAAAAGTTGAAAATCTGTCTGGTGGGTGGTATTTTTGGTTTGTTTGTAGTTTTTTTTTTTTAATGTTATTTCTTTTCCCAGTATTTCAGTTATTTCTTTGACTAGAAATAGAACATTTCCCCAGCACGTTTTTCCTATTTTGCTTTACATCTGCCAAAACAAGCAACGGTCCTTTCTGAAAAGTACTGGGAATTAATGTCACTTTACGTCACGGCATGTTTGTAATCAACTTTATACTGTGAGTAGTGCTAGCAAGATACTGCCATGAATTACCATGGGTAGATGGGTCTCATTTCATAATGAAGAACAGGATCTGTTACTAAAGACTATGAGATGTGCTCTTCATTACAGAGCAAAGTTGAGTTGGAGTCACTGGCCTTCTCTTTCTTTTGCCATCTTTTCTATGCCAATTGATTGTATTACAGTAATGCCATAAGAAAAGTAAAAATGAGGACAACTCTTGCTCCTTGTCCCCCCTGACAGAAGAGTGGATAGCAGGCCTGAGCTTCAGGGAGAAGTGGAAGCTCAATAGCCTGGAGAGAGAATAGACTGAATTGTGCAATATGGCATAAGATTGGTATGAGACACTATATTACAGTAATATGGGAATATAAGAATTCTGGTATTTTTTTATGTGATACTTGCTTCAAATTGAGTTGGTTCTGTGGCACCTTAGTGTCTACCACCACCCATGGAGGTACCACAGTATCATTTTAAGACAGTTCTCCTCATGTGCTGATGATGTTGGCTGACTGTTAGTACAAATTACTTAAAAATGTTAAACTTTATATTTGGCAATTGTTTTTACTGTTCTGTATTGCTACGGAATTTATGTTTGCTTTGCTCATGCAGGCCTTGTTTAACACTAAGTGCTTAAGTAGGTTATCAATGTTACGTATGGGGAAATTGAGTTGTAGAGAGCAGTTCTTACGTTCATGGGTCATCTCTTCTGGCAGCATACTCAAGGCTTAGACAGGCAGACAAGTTCAAACTTTGTTTTATTTTTCTGTTGCCTTTTCTTTTTACTTTCACATAAAATACATGTGAGAGGAAATAAAAGTCCATGTGCTATGGCTGATATTTTTATGCCAGATTGCTGGGCGAGTATCTTTTTTAGTAGGATGCTAATTTCTGCCTGTCAGTTTGGTGATGAGGGATTATGGATATTAGTATTCCCCATTTCCGATTACAGCTCTAGCAGCTCTGTGTTTATGTGTTTGCTTTTCTGCATATCTATGGAACAAAAAAAAACCCCAACTGCTGGAGAGTCATTTTAATGGTTTCTACAAAATTTCTGCTGTTAACATTTTGAATGCTCAATATCCAGTTCTGATGGTATTGTAATTTGTAGCTAATGCCATTTACTTTCAGTTAATGGCATCTCAAATTAAGAAAAATCTTTTCACAAGCCTTTCTGGTTTTCTTTCTCTTCTGCAGTGTGTTCTGTGTTTCTTTTCTGCCATTTCTAACCAATATACAGCTTAAAACTACATGGATTATTGGCTTGTGTATGTGCAGGCAGCTGTCTTCCTGAGTCTTAGTGAAACTCAAGGTTTCTTCCAGGATTTAAAGTACAGCTCTTGTTTAACAAGACCAAGTTCACTTCAAAGAAGCATATCTGTTGTGTGAAGAGGAAGGGCTAGCCCAGGAACACATTTCTCTCTCAGATAAGGAAGCTTGTGTGAACACTTCTGCATGGGGGATACTGTGCAAGCAGGTTGTATTTTAGTTTTCTCTTCTGTAACACTGACTGCAGTAATCCTTCACAGACATACAGTAATGCCCTTCTCTCGAAGGGGCCAGGAGAGAAGGAAAGGGTTATGAACATTGGTTTTTTTTCTAGAAGAAAAAACAGGAAAAGGAGGGCTGGTGTTTCTGTGTACTGCAGATTTGTAAGTATTATATACATTTATATACACATAAATACATATACATGTCTGAAAGGGCATATTGGCAACAGCAGCTTTTTTTGCCTGTATTGCTTATTGGCTAGTTTCTGCCCTTGGAACATTAAAGTAGCTTCCCTTACAGTTAAGGGAAATCATTTAACGGAATAGTATCGGTGCCATTATCTAATTTTGTCATTACTGTGTAAAGAGTCCTTTTCACTTTAAGGTTCAGACCTCTGGTTGTGCTTTGGTAACATACAATAATTTCAGTTGAGATTTTAGGCTGCAATGGAAAGGATCCAACTATTGATAAATATTGCAATGTGAAAATAATTCAGTAGTGCCTTTTGATAGTAGATGGACTTTTAATATATGGGTTTTTTTACTAGATGCAGTTAAAGACATCTAGCATCACTTAGCATCTGGCAGAATTGCTATGCTATTTGCTCTGACTTCTCTGTCTGTACCCAGATGTAGTACAGAAATACATTCCTGGTTTGGTGTCTGGGTTTAGCGTGGTATGCTGCAATTTTCTTTTCTTTTTGGAAATAACTTTTTTTTTTGTCTCAGTTCCATTATTATTTTCTGTTAAATTGTGTTAGAGCACTATCTGTCATTCAGTTCCAAAAAGGATGGATTACAGGGCAGAAACCTGCATGTGGAGGGTTTCAGATTCATGGAAGAAAACCCCCTTAGATTTGAACCAAGTAAATATGACTTCTAAAATCCCTCAAGTTAATTAGAAATGCTAATTATTATTTTGTAAAAGGTAACTAAACCATTATTATGAACCCTGGTTTTGAGATTAACAATATCTTCAATGCTTTCCAAAAGCACAGGTAGTTTGTTGCCTCATTGTTCTAGTTTGGGTAGAAGAGCAAAAAAATGTCACTTGTGTCCTATAATCTTTCACCCTAGTTCATATGTTTCTGTGGAAAAAAAAATAGTGTTCTTCCCATTCTTTTAAGTCTATTTGGAAAAACAGATGCAGTTTTTCCTGAGAACCCTACGGAAAGGGAAATGGAAAGGAAAATTAAGCAATCAAGGGATCCTGAGGCTGCTTTACAAAATCCGTTTACTAAATAGGAGCCATTCATATTTCAAACAGTGTATTTCTTTCATCATTTGCAGCATGGACAACACCAGCAGCATAACACTTTGCAAGGGTTTCTTTTCCGATATTTGACTGCAAGCCCAAATTTTTCTTTAGATACTTGAGTGTATTCTTGAGTATTGTTCATACTGATTTCAATGTTGTTGATCATGGCCCCTTGCTCCTCCACCAGAACTGATATCTGGATAAAAAGTTCCTTCAAATCTTTGACCTGGTTCTCCAGATTGACTAGTTCTTTGTGTCTCTGTTCAATCTCTGAAAGCTGAGCTTTGGTAATTTTGACTTCCGTGAGGAGGTTTTCATTGAAGATTTCCCATTTGCCTTGTTGGAGCATGTCATTGACTTCTTCCTCAGGTACTTCTTTACCAGCTACTTCAAGCTGACGGAGAATAAATCGTCTGCATTTCTCTTGCTTAGCACTTATAGCATCGTTGTATGCGAGCATAGCGTTCAGGTAACGCTGGGATAAGAAAGAATGCTGGGAAGCTAGAATTCTCACTGGGGCACGTGATGGCCCATGCTCGCTTTCAGCTTTTTTCACTGTTTTTGACAGTTCATCCAAACTCTTTCGTATGTGCTCTGCTTGAATTTTTATTTCTCTTGCGATGTTAGATTCCTTTTTAAGAACACTGAATCTTCTCATTGAAGATACCAGGCTTTTTTGCTGTTGACTGAATTTATGGACTTCGTCTGCCAAATTATTGATGTCATTCTGAAGCTTCTGGATTTCATGCAAGTGCCTTTCAGTTATGGGCTCTTGTTCATAAATAATGGCCTGCTGTTCAAACTCCTCCTGCTCTTCTTCTTGTACAGTTGCATCATTGTTTTCTCCAGCTATCTGTAGTTCCTTAGCTCTCAGTTTGAGCTCTTGGAGGCGGTCTCTCATGGTTTTTGTGTTCAAAGGGTTTTTTACCCTCTTGCAATGCAGGGAGTTCACTATCTTCTTTTTTCCTTGTTTTGCTGTAATGAAAAGTGTAACAGCAATCAATGTTAGCAGTTATATATATATATGTCAAGTAGTTTTGGAGACTAAAGCTACCTCCCTCTGCACTAAAGTAAAAGTCTAATTGGAAGTGGTAGGTATTCTGGACGAATATACAAGATGGATGATGTCAGTATTCTCCACCATTTAATCCAGATTTGGTAGGATTTAATAACCTAAAGTTTTTAATTTCTTTTCAGATGGGTATGGTTTAACAGTCTTTCCTCAGCTTCTTCATTGTAGTGTTTTTTGTACACACAGGGATTTGTAGCCCAATCCCTTTTTCATGGTAGATTTGTGGTGCAGGGTCCAGCATTTAGAACAATGAGGAATATGGCACATGGACATGACTTTTGCTTTGGAAGGAGGACAGAAGTAACTCAAATTCTCATTTTATTGTAATTCCTTATTTCATGAAAACTAATCAACTTTTAAATCCTTAAGGAAATAGAAATGAATCTGCTGCTCCATTTTTGGGTTCTCAGTAGGAAGCGTACACTTCAGCTTTTGAGGTTATAAGATAAACTATGTAATAAATCAGAGATCTGGTATGAGTAAACTACTTTAGCCTTTTAGTTTAGCCACACTGAAAAGCCTTTCTCTATTTTTCCTTTCCTTCCCTTGCCTGGGGAGTTAAACTGATAGTAACTGAAGCAATTAACTCTACAGCAAGACAGAACAACAGAACTTTAATATCATTTAAGGACTGTAACAATTTAGCATGAAAATACTTTTATATTTATGAAATGTACTTTGTGCACTTTAGTGGGATACAATTCATTACTGTTTATTTAATAAAAAGTAGATATAGTACTGTTTTCTATGCTAGCTGTTGTGCAAGCCTTATTGGAGGTATAATTAAGAGGAAGATTCTGTTGTGCATGCTTTAGAAAATATCTGAGCTCAACTATCTTTAATTATAGGGAAGAAAGTATTTTCCTCAGACTCTACAGGAATGTCTTCCTTGGACTATCATCAAGCATGGAAAGTTTCAGTACAAAATAAAACATCCGGGACTAGAAGATGATGGGGTCTTCTGGTTAAATGAAATATGTCTTTCAAAAGCCTGTTTATGCATAAACATTACACAGTACAGTAATATCCTTTGGATGTTTTCAGAGGTTTCAGGCAGTCTACTGAAATAGTAGTGGTTTATAGGTGCATTTCTTCTTAAATCTCAATTCTAAGCATTTATTACATTTTTTTTAGTGAGCAAATGCAGTATTCCTCTGTAGTAGCCAAAAGGATGCATTTATAATAACCACAAAGGATCAATCCAGTCACCTGTCAATATGCAAACAATATTGGTACATTTTAACAGCTTCAAATGGTCCTGCTGTGGTATCTCTGCTCCCTTATGTACATTTAAAGTCCCTAAATAGACTTTTGCATAATGTAAGGCACAGAATTGAACAGTGTGAACACGTCTTCCACAGACTTAAGTCTGGCTTGTCTGCAGGAGGGTTAGTTGAAAAACAGAACTTGAAGTGCTGCAGAGATAAATCAAGAGAGAGAATGTTGATGTTCCACCCTACCGTGGATTTCCCTTACTGCTTTCTTGTTATTTCGTTAATGCCTTAATATCTGAATGTCGTGGTTGTTGATTCACATAAGGGGAATTGATAAAGCCTGGAGGTCATTAGAAGTTACAGTAATGTACTGAGACTTGTGATCGGGAAAGTTTGCAAGTAATTTATGGGAAAACATTACTGGGAGAGGGGAGAAATGCAACGTGTGTTAGTTTTGTTACAGTAATTCCTCTTCATTGCCTAACTTGTGTGTGTCCTTTCAGCAGAAGTCAGGCAATTTCTTCATGATAACATTCTTTAGCAGTGTTTCAGAGCTGCTTGGCACCACTGAAACTGCTATAGGGAAAGTTCAGGCTGGGGCATGTGACAGGAAGCAGGAGTGCTAAACAAGGCTTCAGAGAAGTGACCTGAAAATCTGTTTTTAGTATAGCCTAACGCATCTGTTGACCCATGGTACTTTAGCATAGCTTGAGAAGCCTGTGATTAACAGCAAGTTCTAAGGGCATCATTAATGCTTACGATATGAGGTGGCAAGACTTTCTGGTATCTAAGAAGATGCAAGTAATTACTGAAAAGCTCTAAAACATGCATGCAGTTATCCAGTTGCTCCTTCAGAACATAGTACAATTTCTCAAAAGTGCATTTTCCAGTTTTCCATATGATTGAGCTCCTGTGGTTTAAAAGTAAGTTAAACACAAGAGCATATCAGGCTTCATCTTCAATTTGTATATCCATTAATGACTGACATTGGCTTTTCAATGCTTTAGGTGCAATGGTCTTGAAAAAGCTGTATTTCTTGGGGTGGAAGCAATGGAATTGCAGATCTGCGAATATTCTCAAACTTGCAAAGAAGTAAGAACAAAACATTTAAAATTGCTCTTAATGGATTTTTTTTTTCCCCCTTGTTTAAACATCAGTTTCACAAAAGAGTGGAATGTAAGCACTTGAACACTGGTTTCATACCTCACACCCTATCGGGCTTGCCTTGAAAACCTGCCTGAATGCGCTTGCCAATAAAAGTGGTTGATGATGCTGATAACAGACATGCATGCTGTTTTCAAATAAATAAGGATGTCTTCATGATGAAGATAACCTTGGGAATTGTTGGCTTCAATTCCTGACTGTTCCACAACAAGCTCTGTTCATATACTGAGTCCTTGTTGTTGTCTGCGGGTTTGTGTGTATATATAGGGGCACATCCTGTTGTTCTTTTGATTGAGATGAAAGATCTTTTTCCTTGAAGTTTTTGTCAACAGAGGGAAAATGTGCCTGTTCTTTTACAGTTGAGTAAAGGAAATATGTGCACCAAAAGCACTCCAGTGACATAGTGTGTCCCCTACATTCAGTAAAACATTTTAAAACATGATCCCTCTGAAGCAGTGAAGTAGCACAGGCTAGCACATCTTTTTCTTCATCAAAGATCGGAAAATTTGGGTTAAAACAGCTAAAAGAGTGACTGCAGTACAGGCAAAGCAAATCAGTAGATGAGAAAGTATTAGCTTGTTAAACTGTAGCTTCAAATTATTGACTGCATGTAGAAATGGCCCTAACTGCTCTTACATACATAAATCTGAAGAGCACTGGTGAGGTTTGCCCATGTTTCTAACCATTCTTCAGTCATAAATACTGCTGTGTCATCTTTTATCTACTGATACTAAAACCATATGTTTGGAGATGGAATCATAAGCTGATATCCAGTCTTTAGTGAAAGATAATCTGTAGAAATGAAGTTGCTCTAATAATATAGCTGCAATAACTTAGTCAGACCGATGTGGCACTGTGTCTTCTCTGTCTGCGCTTAGAAGCAATGTAAGATTGAAAGCATATCCAAAGAACAGATAGGATAGATTTGAGGAGGAGGTGGCAAGGATAAGGAAGGGAAAGGAGGAAGAATCAGGCCCAATTTTTCTCAGTACCTAAGTTCAAGGATTATACATGGGCTTTCACACATGTATTTGTGGAGAAGAAGTAGGAGCACGCAAGCAGCATTTCAGTTTGGCCACTCTCACAAAGTATGTCCTAAATTCAAAGCTAATGAATTTGATGGAAACTAATGTTTCATAATGTATCATCTTCATTTTTTAAGGGGGATCAAGGGTGGGGAGGGACAAAAAACCCAACCCTAATCCAGCAAGTTTCAGGGTTCTTTTGCTTAGTTGCAAAGCAGCCATATAGAATAGCTTCCACCTATCTAATGTATTAGTTGACTCAGTGAACAGGGAGCCTACATCCAAAAATGAGATTTGAGCTGCGTTAAGTTAAAGTGCATAAATGGGTATATGAAGTATGTAAGTTGATCATATGGAACTCTTGTTCATCATATGGAACTCTTGTTACTGGTTGTAATAAGATTTAATGGCTTATTTTTTTGGCTTTGATGGTTTTATTTCCTTCCCACCCTCTGACTTCCCAAAAACTTCTGTTTATTTTGATTTCTGTAGTTTTATTTGTTATTTCGTGGCTATTCCGTTCCTTCATTAAAATGCCTGACCGAAAAGGCTCTTGTCAGTATTTGACCTTTGATGCAATTGGCGTGCCTCCTGATGTTCATTTCAACATACTGCCATCCGTCAGGAGAAGAGGACTTGCAGGGAATTAAGGGACAGAATTCTTTCTTTAAGAGCTCTTTGAGATACATGATCTGTGTTCTGCATCATACTCCTTTCTTTACCTCTGCTGGAATAGCTTGGGTTTTTCCTTTTACAATTCCAACAAAAATAAGGGTCAGTTTGTTTTCCTGTTCGTTAGGTATGAGCCGATTAAGGACACTGGTTAGAGGACACTTGGAGGCAATATGTCGCAAAGGAATTTCAGGTTACAAGTTATTGTTGTTGTTGTTATTATTTATTTGTTGTTATTATTATTATTGCTATCCATTTCCAGGCTGAAGTGAAGTTACATTATAGCTCTGTTGTATGGTGCCAACAAACCTGTGTAACTGTCATTTTGGAGCACAATGGCTCTGAGTAATGTTTGGAGTCATACTATGGTCTGGAGGGTGATTACTGCTTTAAGCACCTTAAGTGTAGCAACAAAACATTAGTGATATTTAAATTGCCTACAGTTAAATACCTACATTGCCTACGTTTAAATGCCTACAGTTTAAGTTACTTACTCTGTGGGAAAAACTGGTGCCTTGAGTTGCAATTCCTGTTGCTCCAAAGTGCTCTCTCCTGTGTCCTCACAAAAAGAGGGAACTTGTTTGATGTATTTTTGGAGCATCTGCAGTAACTAAAGGAAGCAGTCTTGCTACAGTAGGTGATGTTTATTTTCTCCTTTGTTTAAAAAGTTTCCTCTAATTTGAATACCTTGGAAACAAACGTGCTTAAACCAAGGATTATCACAGCAAGATGGCTGGTGAAAATATCCCCTGCAAGCATTTCTGTCTTGAGATGATAAATCCTTGGGAAAACATATTTTAAAGTA